TGCATAATTAGTCCTGCCACACACCCCCTGTGTCCACAGGCAATTGTTGCTCTGTCCCAAGCAGCCATGTGGATGACAAAGCACGGATTAGCCTCAGGGGAGGCTAATTGTTTCCTTAATTGGCTGAACCCACACTGGAGAGCCCTGCCCAGAAAGTCCCCAGTTGTGACTGCAAAGGGTGGCATTTCTTTGCCTCACCGATAACCAGCTCCAGCGGGGGCTGCCCTAGTGATTATAAAATGTTTCCAGCAGAAGCAGCTGAATGGAACAGAGCCTGGCTCCAGGGGTGCCCAGGAAGTGCATTCAAGAAGTGGGTAGGGGTCCTGCAGCTGCCTCGCCCTACACCCCGCGTTCCCACAGCCCCTCAGCACATGCCTATTTCTGTCTGCGCCCAACCCCTACTTGCCGTACTCAAGCCGTGGCCTGAGCTTGCTGGGTGGCGACTCCGGGGAAGCCCTGGACTCCGGGTGGGAAGAAAGGGTCGGAGGGAGGAAGCGCTCTCAGGTGAGGGCGTTCTCATGTCCGCCACCAGGTGGCGCCACCAGCACAGACCACCTGGGGGTTGTCCTGCGTAGCGGGGACGAAAACGGGTGGACATTAGTGCAGGACTTGGTGGCTCTGGAGCCTGCCGCCCGAGGACCTCCAGCGACTAGCCTCCGGGCCGGTGCTTGTCTCTTCCAGGGACACAGTTGTGCTAAGGGCTGAGCACATGCTGGCTCTGGAATCAGTGTTGAAAATGGTGCCACCTTTGTTTTTTTGTTTTTCCACATCTTCAGGATTCTGCTCAGTGTGGCAGGGCTGGGGAGGGGCTGGAGCTCCTCACTGCCTCCTGCAACGCAGTTTTGCAGGGAAAATCTTGTCTAACTGTGGGTCTTTTTTGTTTTTGTTTTTGTTTTTTGAGACAGAGCCTCAAGCTGTCACCCCGGGTAGAGTGCCGTGGCATTACAGCTCACAGCAACCTCCAACTCCTGGGCTCAAGCGAGTCTCCTGCCTCAGCCTCCCAAGTAGCTGGGACTACAGGCGCCCGCCACAGCGCCTGGCTATTTTTTTGGTTGCAGCCGTCATTGTTGTTTGGTGGGTCCGGGCTGGGGATTCGAACCCACCACCTTAGGTGTACGTGGCTGGCGCCTTAGCCGGTTGAGCAATAGGCGCGGAGCCCTAACTATGGGTTTATGTCCAACAGGAAGGCTCTGGACCCAAGAGTGCCTCTGGTTCCCTTTGTGACCTCTAGCAGGTCACTTACTCTTTCTCTCTATCACCAAATTGGTAAACTGAGGGTTCTAATACCTGCCCTGCCTGAAGAATCAAGTGAATTGCAGGATGACGTGGTGCAGTCACTGGAGCTCAGGTCCTCGATCCCTGGCTCCCTTCCCATGTGGCCTTAGACAAGTGGCTTGCGATCTCTGAACTTCAGACTCCTCATCTGTAAAATGGGGGTAATAATAGCACTTCACATGTAAAATGGGGGTAATAATAACACTTCACATGAAAGGTTTTTTTGAACACTAACGTACAGGAGAAACTTTTAGAACTGGCAGATGTTTTAGAAACAAATGCTGCAGAGCCAACCATATGGGGCAACAGGACTGAGAGGGGATTTTGGAGACTGGCCAGGCTATACCTCAGGCTCAGGGAGCCTGCAGGGCTGGTGGCTTGCAGGTGGGTTTGCCTGCCTGCCTCCAGGTGAGGGTCAGCACCACCCAAATGTAGGGCTGATATATGGTACAAGAAGGTCCCCAAAGCTAACCAGGCTGCTCCTAGGGGGGAAAGGGCCTGCCCTTTTTAATGCAGGGGTGCTTGAGGAAGAAGATGGAGGGAAGCAAGAAGCTGGACCATCAGGCATCGGGACCTGTGGGGTGGAGTGCTATCTGTCTCAGCCACCTAGCCAGCTTGGAGGGTCATTCTGAGAGGTCCCCTCCTGCTGAGTGGCTTGTCCCCTCTTGGTGCAAGAGAATTGAAGTGACTTCCTCAGTGGGGGCAGGGCGCAGAGGGGTTTGTCCCTCATGCACTTGGGCTTCCTGCACTTACCACCCGAGGCTGCCTGGGAGAGCTCAGCCCCTCCAGGTGTCTGGCAGCATGTGCTCACTCAGGCATTTAGAAATCCTGATGGTCTGTCGAATCTTGAGGACAGAACCATGACTTCTGCTTTGTCCCCACACTGCCCAGCCACAGTAAGCACATAAAAGGTACCCATGGAACTAAGCTAAAGCAGAGTCTAGTAATTGTGGTCCCATTTCGAAAGCTTTAGTCTTAGTGGGGAGGAGGCTCCCATGAACTTCAGGGGACACCTGTGCTCTTCCACCCAACTTTCTCCTCCTTCGGGGCTGCCACCTCCTCCATGAAGCCCTCCTGGGCACCACCTTCCTTCTGGGCAATTCCCTTCTCCCTCTGTCCCCTTTCTTTGCACTGTACACACTTCTGCCATCAAAGTGGACTAGAGCAGCAGCTAGAAATTAACCTCCTTGTGCCTCAGTTTCCTCATCTGTAAAATGGAAGCGATTAGAGCCCCTACCTCATAGGGCTGCAGTGACAATCAAATTGGTTGGGAAATAAAAGCCCCTTGAACAGTGGCTGGCAACTGCCTGAGCTGTTCTGCTGCCTAATTATGCTGAGGCTGCCGAGCCCCCTCTCTAGACGTGGGCTGGGGTCTTGCACTTCCACGTCCTCTGCATCCTTGCAGAGCAGGTGCTCAGCAAACTGTAAAGGATGGATGCCCGGATACCAGCTAGTGGCTGAGAAGTGTTGTCCCCAGAGACTATACCTGCAGACTCGGGGAGGCTGCCGAGGCCTGGCCCAGAGGCTGTGAGGAAGCCCATTTCACTGCTCTGCTCCCTTACCCTTTGGGCCTTTCCTGCTTATGCACAGAGGGCACAGGAAGGGACAAACAGGTGACAGAAAGCTTTGACAAAACTGAGGTTTCCAGATGTGAAGTGGTTTTTATTCTTTTATCCCAGCTCCCAAGGCCAATCAGGGCCAGACCCAAGGCCTGACAGTATAGCCTGGGCCTGTGGACTCCTTGCCAAGGCCTGCCCCTGCCTCTCCCCAGGAGGCTGTGAGGCCTCAGAGTGTCTCAGAAACTTAGTAGTGACCCGGGACACTCAGCCTCCTCTTGTCCAGCCCACCTGGGCTCTGCAGCCCAAGGGCGTCCCCCCCAAGGATTCAGGCGTCCCACTGAGGCCTACCAAGAATACACTGAGTACCTGCACGGTCAGGCAGGGCCCAGGCATCAGTCTGGGGAAAGGTCCTGTGCCCCCCTCATGCTCATCACTCCCACTCCAGTGCCCTCTGTGCCAGGTAGAGGCCCCAGCAGGCAAGCAGGGGACACTTACCAGGTGTGCAGCTGGCACAATCCAGGTTGGTGGCAGAGAAACTCTGGGAGCTCAGGGAGTACAGAGCCAGAGCAAGGTGGCCCCTGGGTAGGGTAGAGCAGGTGCAAGTGTCAGAACAGGGTCCGTGTTCAGGGGCAGCTTGGCACTCACCTGCCTCCCAGTGCCCAACTGTAAGGAGACCTGTAGAGGCACAGACCAATGACTTTCAAATGCTCACTCTGTGCCCTGAGGGCTATCACATGGCATCGAGGTGCTTAGACAGCCTGCTTCCCCCAGGAGCTGGGAGCAGTGTGAAGCAGATTGTCTGTGTCTCTCTGTGGCACATGTGGCCATGTATCACTGTGATGGCTCAACAGTCAACACCACTGGGGTCCTGGCCCGCCCCAGCACTGGCAGGGAAAGTCCTGTGCTCATCTGTCTTCCTCCCCTGGTGGCCGCCCCTGCTCCTCCCACTCTCCTGGGAGTTGGTGGGAAACGTCTTCTGATTTTCGCTGTGTGTATGTGGAGTGGCCAAGGGAAAAGCATCTGGACAAAGCCCCCAAACTACGACCTCATGGTGCCATCACTGGGGCTGCAGGCTGGAGTGCCTGGACGCACGTGAGGGGGAGAAAGGCTCACATAGCTGGGAGTTAGAATGCCTGCTCCACAGACCTGTCCTGATCTCAGCAAGCTGCTTTGCCTCTTGGGGCTGTGGCCTTCTGCCTAGTACATCAGGGACAACCATATTCATCTCACAGGTGAATGGCACCAGTAGAAAAGGGAGGTAAGTTCTCGGCAGCTCAGCCACCTTCCCACCTGCTCCCTCCTCTAGCCAGGGGGTCTCGATCCCCACACCCTCGGCCACTCCAGACATAGACATGAGACAGACTGTGGGCCCCTGCCCAGTAAGGCCAGTGCTGGGCTCCAGGCCCCAGTCTTCTGGGGCAAGGGGCCTAGGCAGCAAACAGCAAACTGTCACTATCCCTTTGTTGGTCCCTGCTGGAGGCAAGTGGGCTGTGATGCAGAGCCAGATGGGGAAGCAGTTCATGTGTCTCATGGCAGGGGTGGGGGATGGGGTGAACTAAGGTTCAGGGAAGTCACAGAGAGGCGATGACATTTGATGTGAACCAGAGAGGAGCTGTCTCGTGAGCCTCGCCCAGGGACCCACAGTGGTCCTTGCTGGGCTAGTGATGGGCAGCTCCATTTTTGGTCCCTGGAGGAGTTCAGCCCTCTCTGAAGCTGGGAGCAGCAGGTGGCTCCTGCCCACCCTGTCTTCCCCTTCCCCTTCTTAGTGGGGAGCTAAACCAAGACCTGTAGTTACCCACAGCAATCCTGTGTCCTCCTCTCGGCTGGTTGTCGCTTGACCATGGGGCTGGGGAAGGGCGGAACCCACTGGGGTTTGGGTCAGGGAGACTTGGGTCTCCATCACAGCAATCTGGCCCTGTGGCCTGGACAGGTCCGAGGCCCAGATTCCTCACCTGGCAGCCCCTGCGAGGAGCTGTTCCTGACACCTGAGCAGAAGGTCCGGGTTATGGAGATGAAATGGCTGCGGGAAACATTGAGGAAACAGAAAGGCCATCGGGGAGGAACTTCCTGGGAACACAAAGGGGAACTGAGCTGCCAGCTGCCAGTTGGGCTGTCCCCTCCTGAGAACTAAAGAGGAAAGAGGAACTCCGGCTGAAAAAGAAGGCCCCAATGGAGGGCTGGTGTCCGTGGTGGCGGGTCCCACCAGGCCACCCGTGCCCTGCCGGCCTTCCTGTGGCCTCCTGGCTCCTCAGCTGGCTCCTGTTGCCCTGGACTCTGCAGCTGGCAGGTAGCGTCTGTCTTCCTTCTCACGTACTCTCTTGCTCCAGAACATCAGAGCCGCTTTCATCTAGCCGGTGCAGCTAATTCCCAGGGACCTATCTCTAGGGATTTGCTGGTTGTCATTTGAACATTGCAGACTTCACAGGGGAAGCCTTCAGGGACCAAGAAGATGTTTAGCTAATGCCTTGCCAAGGTGGCTTTTGAAGGGGTGGAGGACAGCGCTGTCCCCTGGCTGCCGTGTTAACAGCCTCCCCCTAGCAGAGGTTGGCCTCCTGGGCCTTACAGCAGAAAGGACAGCCTTTCCGCTTCCTCAAGGTCCAGGTAGGTGGACATTGTGTGGCTGGGTTGGGTGTGGGGTCAGTGGGGAGGGACAGCTCACTGCCCAGTGAATCTTACATGGCTATTACGGTACCACGGCCACGTTGAACCTGCCAAGTGGCAGAGCCACCCTGGGCATTGTTGCTGGCCTTAGCCAGGGAGAGAAGGGGAAGCCAGGGCTGACCACAGGGTGCTGTGTCCTGGGGCACAAAATTGTCAGAAAGAGCCGTGCTCCCACTTTCTGAAATATAAACAGAGGCCAGGGCTTTTAGGATGTGAGTGTCTTTTCAGGGATGTTGCTTTTCTGGGGTCAGCCTCTTTCCAAAGCTGGGTGGTCTGGATCCAAGCCAGGCCATGGGGGTGTGGCCTCTGGGGTAGTTCATCAGGCCAGGGACCCCTGGAAGTATCCTTCCCAGGGCTGCCGGCACCGGGGTTCCTTGTGCTCAGTAAATTCTTCCAGATTCTCTCTGTCTCTCGTTTGCCTGGGCAGACCCCCCAGCCTGCACTGTGGAGATGGGGTGCTTCTCTTTTGCATTCACTTACGCTTTTAGGAGGGGACTGCCCCACCCCACCTGCTCCACTTGGCTCTCCTTTAGCTATAAACAACAATTATGCTTATTATCTTGAATTAGCCTTTACTGAGCCTTAAGTGGGTACACACTGTCTACCCTCATAGCAGCACCCACTGTCCTCACCAGCACCATTTTAAGGACAGGGAAATGGAGGCTCAGGAAGCCAGTTAACTTGCCCAAGTCCTCGCCAGCAGGTAGAGGGCAGCTGCAGACCCAGGCCTCAGCCCCAGCCAGGATACTGAGGCAGTAAGCTCTGGGGCTGCTCTTGTCTTCACTGCAAAGATCATTCTTCACAGAAAAATTTACTCTGGGGAGGCAAGAGCTGGCGGGTGGTGCCTGTATAGGCTGGGGCCCAGCCCCTGGTGACATTGGTCTCTTAACCCTGTACAAACCCCACCCCCCCGCAAAGGCCAATGCAAAGATAGCCGGACTGCTGGAAGTACCGCTTATTGGTGACATGCATTTGAACTTAATTTTCCCTCAATTCCCATAATTTCCCTTTGTGTGGCTCCTCCTCCCCAAAAGAACCCCACACCTCCTGGGACTAAGGGGTAGAAGAGGCTTTGGGGAAACTGCTCTTTTGTAACAGTCTTAACTGCAAACAAAACAGAGTAACAGATTTTCCCCTTGCACTGCACACAAGAGAAACTGCTCTTTCACAAGAGGCCAAACGCCTGCGGTCTCCTAGACAACATCCGGCAGCAGACAGCCTGCCCCAAGGGCTCTCGCCCTGCCCCGCTGGCCCTCCTCTTCTACCTGCTGTTCCACACCCTTACACCACCTCCTGGGTTCCACATTTTGTGTGTTTGGGGGAACCTGCCTCTCCCACATCTTCCAAAGCTCCTCTGAGTTCAATCATTACCCTGGTGCAACCAGCTCTACCACCTGCCGGTAACCACCCAGCTTTTACCCCTCAGCTGTGTCCATCAGAGGGGTCCTCGCTGTCTTCACTGAAGCCTGGGGGCCCTGAATCTGCTGTTTCCCTGAACCATGATAGGATGTGGGGTTAAGAGGGCAGGACAACGTGTTAGACTGAGTTTGAATCTGAGCTCTCTCACCCACCCCAGGACTCTGGGCAGACAGACACAGTTATCACTGTCTCAACTGCCACATCTGTTAAATGGGTACGATAATAGTGCCCTCCTGGGCCTGAGAGCCCAGCATGTGGTTGGTGCCAGTGAACGTCAGCACCTGCCAGACTAGCAGTGCTGGGCACTTGAGATTTGGCTGAGAAGCCAACAGACTCCTTCCTAGTGGCCTCCAGCCCAGCCGGGGTGGCATCTCAGGACCTCACTTGCCTCCCCACCCCCACCCCCACCCCTGGACACTGGTTTCTTCTCATGGGCTCCACAGCTGCTGGTGACCACAGCCACTAGTGATCTCCTCCAGGGCAAATCACTGGAGCTGGGCCTGGGCTTTCTCAGGAGCAGCTGCACTCCTGCCTCCATAGGCTCTGGCACCTCTAAGGACTGGGGGGCCAGACAGACTTGAGTTCAAGGCCTGCCCTCTTCTCATGAATGCTGTGTCACCACAGGCAATTTCCTGAATTTTTCTGAGCCTAGTGTCCTCAACAAATGTCAGTCCCCTCTCTCCGCCTGGCCTTTTGCAAGAGATAGGCTTTATTTATTTGCAAATATACGTTGAGGACAACCAAGGTGGTGACCCGTGAGTCCCAGCCAAAGAACATGACCAGAGCTGGGAAGTTAACAAGGCAGCTTTGCCTCCCCTCTGATATTCTCTGAACTCAGGTGTCACTGGGCCCTTTTTAGCCCAAAAGATGTTCAGGAGCCTCTGCCTCTTTCCAGGCTGAGGCTTCCTGTCTCCCTTCCCGCTGCTCTGGGCCTCTGTCAGGAGCAGCCTCTGCTTTTCATCTTCGTCTAATCCAAGTAAAAAGCTGTGGAGGCCGAGGGGGGCGGGCAGAGGCATCTCCATCGGAGGTGGGGAGGGGAGTTGGGGAAAGGCCGTCTGCAGAAGGGAGGGACAGAGCCGGCAGGTGGGCAGCCGCACAGCAAGAATAAAGGCTGAGAGGCCACACAGCAGGGCAGAGGGAGGGGGTGGAGAGGTTCTGCTGGGCGGGAGGGGAGAGTCTCTCGCAGAGCAGGGGATGGATCATGAATGCCTATCGGGCAGGGGGCCAGATGCCCTCCCAACAGGTCCTGGCTCACTGCTTTCTCCTTTGTAATTGGGAAATATAATACACATACAGAAAAGTGCCGTACTGTATAATAAATACTGTAAGCCAGGGTCCTGTGTGACTGCCGCCAGGGTCAAGAAAGAGCGCTCCGGTGCCCCAGAGTCCCCTGTATCTCCCCAAACCCGCCTCCTCCCCCAGGTTGGAACTGCCATCCTGACTTTAGGGCATCCACTTCCTGGCATTTCTGTACAGTTTTATCATTAGTCCACCACTAAGCGGTGTAGACCAGTTTTGCCTGCTTTTGAACTTCACGTAATTGGGAAGGTGCTGTGTGTAGTCTTTTGTGACACTCTTCTTTCATTTAACACTATGTTTTTAAAGACACAGCCAGTTGACAGTGTGGCTGAAGTTTGTTTGTTTCCATTGCTATAGAGCAAGGGTCACAAACCATGGCCCGTGGGCTAAACCCAGCCCACTGCTGCTTCTGTACGGCCTGTCAGTTATGAATGGTTTTTATATTTTTAACTGGTTGAAAAAAACCCAAAAGGGACTGTGCCGACTCATGTGACTTCTAATCTTGACTCCCAGCACGGTGCCCGGCACCCAGTGGATGCTCAGGAAATAGTAACAGTAACAGGATGAATTAGGCTCCTCAGCCCCAGACAGCCCCAGACAGCCCCAGAATGAGTTCTGAGCAGGGTGGAGACCCAATGCCACCACCAGGGGCACCTGAGGGAAGAAGCAGCTGGGCTGGAAGGGTTGGGTGGTCATCCTGGTGCCAGGTGGGGTCCTCTTGGTCATGGGAGGAATAACGACTCCACCTGGTATCTCATGAGCCAGAGAGTTGACGCAGGAGTGCAGGGAAAACAGGAGCTGACCCTCCTGTGGATCTAGGCAAGGCTTCGTGGGAACGTGTCCATCAGCCCTGGGGGAGGGTGACACACTAGGTGAGCCTGTGAGAGGGCAGGGTGGGGGCAGGGGTAGACACGGCTGCCTCTGGGAACGGCCTGACCACCCTGGACTTGAGTCTCAGGAGACTTTGGCCAGCCCCCCGAGCAGCACCGTGAGCCTCCACATATTTGCCTTGCTGTGGTGCTTAGAGTTCTCCTGCTGACAGCAACAGAAAGGCGCATCCAGCACCACCAATGGCTGCAGGGACCCCTGAGGGAGGCTCTGTGAGGCTTTAGCCCTGGGGACAGGGTTCAAGGGCACAATGAGTGATGAGACTCAGTGCTCACCTCCCCAGGGTAGGGTATGTGTGTCCTGCCCACCAGGCTCCTCTGGGCCTAGCCACTGTCCTCCCTACACATCCACCCCTCTGCACCCCGGAAATCAGGCTCTTCACAGGACAAGGGGCTCACTGTGGCCTCCCCAGGCCTCCTTCAGGCTGTGGTGACTTACTGTCCTTGGACACACTCAGGCTAGAGCCTGGAACATGAGCTTCTGAGGGGCCAGGCCAGGCCCAAGTCATCTCTCTGAAGCCACATGCAGCCAAGGCCAGGCAGAGGAGGGCCTCAGGGCCAAGGCCAGAAGGACCCCTGGCTGGAGTTAAGAAGTGCCTGGCTTCCGAGGGTCAGTTGGATGAGTTATTGTCTGGGGTCTTCATTCTAGGGACTAGGGGTGTGCAGGGTGCCTGGAAGAGCCAGAGAGGAGGGATGGTCAGTGTGGCTAGGTTTCCGGGCCTCTCCTGCCCTAATGCTGCATGGGCTGTTATGGAGGAAGGGCAGGGCCAGGAGCCAGAAGCCCTCTGTGGCTCTGGCCAGATCTGTGCTTGCTGCTGAGGCAGGGGAAGGGGCATTAGGAGCAACCCAAGCCAAGAGCAGGGGCGCCCTCCCAACCCCTTCAGGTGGGATTGGGTGGGCTGGTCTCACACCACGTGGGCACTGGCTTACAGTGCCGGCCATAGGGTCAAAGGGCACACTTCCAAAGGCCACTTGGCAACACATATCAAAATCACAAGCGTGAATGTCCTTTGACTCAGCA